CGACACGACACGACACTCAGAAGCGTCCAACTGAAGTGTTTTGGATCGGCACCCAAATCCGGTCCAAATTTATATAGATTTTCATCCAATGGTTCTTACCGAAGCGTCCAACTGAAGTGTTTTGGATCGGCACCCAAATCCGGTCCAAATTTATATAGATTTTCATCCAACCAATTGGTTCTTACACTCATCCACACTAACGAGAACACTCAACACTCTGCTGTTGAAAGGTTATCTTGCTGACCGCTTGCCTGTCTTCCTTAAGACTCGATCTTCCCTGAATATTTGAAATTTTCGTTTCAAAAATGGAACGCTCTCTAGCGTGAAATCAGTCAACTGTTTTCCAGTCATTTGTGAGACGAAAATCCCGGCCACTTCGGAAAGAGAGAGAGGAAATATTTCTTTTGAATGATGGTTTCATCCTGAAAGTGTAACCGGTCTATGCCGAAAAGCCAAGAAGTACTGTACAGCTGTTTACTTTTTACTGGGAATCATGGGCAATGCACATCTCCCTTCAGTTGCTTTCTCATTCATTTGGGCTTCCAGAAGTGAACACTTCGTGTTTGTGGAACAGGGAATGGTCTAGTTTTTGCCGGAGTGTGTACACCAACTTTTCAACCCCGTTCGTGTGGTCTACATTTATTAGATTGAGTATTATCTAATTCCACTGGGTGTACTTCGTCCTAATGACTGAATCGATTTTGGAACGCAAATCTCTTCATGTTCGCCTTGCAAGTGCCAGTGTCGTCCGAAGACCCATAGTCCCACCGTTGGTTATTCTAGCATCTTGTTTTCCAAGCATGTTCTCATCTAAGTCCTACTGATACCTTTGTACATACAACTAAGAACAATAAGTGCGACCTTTGCCTTTCGACTTCCCCCGTGTAGGCTTGGGCAACCTGGCAGTATCCCAGCCCTCATGCTTCCTTCGGGTAGCATGGCAGCTGAACACCGAAAGGATGTTGCAGCTGAACGATTATTACTATTATTATTATCATTATTAAGTGCGTATAATCAAGTGTTTTTCAAGGCTATCCGATGTACTTGTTCTCAGCTTCCCTGTTTTCATCAATGGTTCTACATAATTGTTTCGTTATTGCGGTACTGGGAACATATTCAAATGAGTTGCTGTCGAAGCTTAACTTGGCTGATGTTGCTTTTTTCATTTCGCAGGTTACGGGAGAAGGTACACACTTACGTGGGGACATGAACGTCTGTTTAGTTGGTGATCCGAGTACGGCAAAGTCCCAGTTTCTCAAACATGTTGAACGCTTCTCACCTCGTGCTGTCTACACCAGTGGTAAGGCAAGTTCAGCCGCAGGTCTTACAGCAGCCGTTGTACGAGACGAAGAGTCTTTCGAATTTGTGATCGAGGCTGGTGCCTTAATGCTTGCAGATAACGTGAGTCGTGTGCGTTTTTAGGTCGTATGGTACAACATTTTATGTTTATCCCGCAAAACACTAACCGTCTCTCTTCCTACATTCTCCAGGGTGTCTGTTGCATCGATGAATTCGACAAGAATCCGCTCCGCGATCAAGTTGCCATTCACGAGGCCATGGAACAGCAGACCATCAGCATAACCAAAGCTGGAGTGAAAGCCACGCTGAACGCGCGAACGTCGATCCTGGCTGCTGCTAACCCAATCAGCGGTCGGTATGACCGTTCCAAGTCTTTGCGCCAAAATATTGGCCTCTCTGCGCCCATCATGTCTCGCTTTGATCTCTTCTTCGTCCTGGTTGACGAATGCAACGACGTAAGTAGCCATTTGCTTGACCGGGTTGCCGTGTGAATAAATGCCGCCTGTCGTTAGCAACGCACTTTTTTGTTGCTACAACATCTAGTTGGTCCCTATCCACAGTACATATTATTTTTGAGCCAAGGTAAAAAATTTCCCCCGTTTTGTCTAGATTGTCGATTATGCGATTGCTCGGTCTATCGTCGATTTGCACATGGGCGTCCAAAGTTCAACTGATGTACAATCCTCGTATTCAGTAGATGACATCCGACGATACATCGCCTTTGCTCGTTGCTTTAAACCGAAAGTAAGTTGGCCATCAAGTTTGCTTTTCTCCCATTGAATTGATTTATTCCTCTAAGTTCATTTACTTTGTGTGCGGCAAAACCGACTGGTGTTTCTTGGGCAATGTAGCGACACTACTCGTGTACCTACCACGAATAATAATAAAACTACTAATATTAATACGTGGTGCTACAACACTAGGAACTCTGTTGGGTCCCATAGACATCGATGGCAGTACACTTGAACAAATGCGACTGCTGACTCCAGGTAGCCGTACTCAAGTCTCAAAAATACCACTCATCAAATTCTGAATTCAGCAGATTTTACGCGTCCCAGTCCTGTACATAGTTTTCTGTTAGCGTTGTACCATTCATCAAAAGTTCCCATATGTACTAGTACAGTATGATTCTAATGGAAACGGCCTCCAAAAGTACCAGCCATTCTGGTCGTAAATTATGCTCCCACATTTTGTATCTGCTCGCTCGTGTTTGTCTCCACTATTTTATTGCTCGTTTTTAGGAGTGTGTTACCTTCAAGTTTTACCTCAACCTCAGGATACGAAGCGGTTGCTTCTATAGAGTAGGTTCCGGTTGCTTTTGCAACGCACTCTCAGTACTCGAAGAACTGAGGTTCCGGTTGCATCTATTTACGCCTACTAGTCCACACCTGTTTCGAACATTTCGCTTCCCTCGATCACCACACCAGCCTCATCGTCATCATCATCATCACCACCATCGTCATCAATCGTCATCATCACCACTATCATCATCATCAATGACAGCAACATCAGTGTTGGCACTGATGCGTCGAAGTTCGAGGCCCATAATGTAGTAGTTTTCGCCTTGAAGTTTTGGCAACGTGCAAAAGACAAGAAGATAGCCTATATCTGACCATCCGATGAGAACATCGATTCGGAAGCTCGAGGTTCCCCAGTTGTTAAGGCGCAAGCTTACGGCCGAAAGGTCCGTGCTTCGGACCCAAGCTAAGCATCTCGACTGCTCCTGTCTAGGCTTGGGTAACCCAGCAGTATCTCATCCCTCGTGCCTCTCGTTGGCATGGCAGCTAGACACCGATAAAGTGCTGTAGGTAAGCGATTTATTAACATCAGGTTGGCAGTGATCAGATGCGTGGATGCTTTGGCGACTGCGCTGGCTCGGTCGCGTGCATGCTGTTTGATCACCTGACCGTTGCTTACTTATATAGGTTAGCGTTGTATGGTGGGACACATGACCTGAGGATGACGCGCGGAAAGCGTGATAACAAGTAATAGCCGTTCCGGTGCTTAGTGTCTGTTAAGTATCTGAGATCCGCCTCATCGATGGCTGAAGGTATTTATCGACACAAGTCAGACAGCAGGCAAATAAAATAGTTTAACTAATATCGTTTCGGTGCCTAGCTGCCATGTGATCGGAAGGGAGCACAAGGGCTGAAACGTTGTTGTTGCCTATTCTTATTCATCACCATTGTTCTGTGTGCTCAGTGTTGTTATACACTATTTGTCCTTCACTTTCTATTGCCTTTAGATACGGCGGTGCGAACTATCGCACGAACACACCCACATTACACGTGCCAAAGTTTACAAGATTGTGGTTGATAGGTCTAACTCTGTATAATTCTCCCTTCAGGTTTCCATCTAAACGAAATACATGAAGAGTTATCTTTTCCCGGCGTTCTTATTACCATCCAGGTCTGTATCCATGGTTCATCCCCAGCTGTCGCCCTGGTAAGCTCCATAGTAGAGGAAATCAGTGCAGATACTAATTTACAGGTTGTTAGGAAGATTTCCAACGTTCAGAACGGTTTTGGGGAGGTTTTGGGAAATGAACTAACAATTTGATGACCTCGGTGAATTCCGGGACAGCATCTTGAGTGTAACTTGGCGTGACGCTCATGCAGGACTCCTGTGGAACAGTAAAGACAGTGGAGTTCGATCATTCGCTCGCAATAACAAAATCGATCAGCGATTTGCTTACTAAGTCCAAAATGCATATAACAAATGTTTCCTTTTTGGTCAATGCTTCCTGGGGGTACCCCGAATAAAAAACCTGTGAATCATTTTTCTTCTAACAGATTAGCATGGAGGCAATGCAGTCGATGGTGGAGGAATACAAGCGGATGCGGCAACGCGATGCTTCCAGTGGAGCGAAGTCAGCGTGGCGTATCACGGTGCGACAACTGGAAAGTTTGATCCGGCTGTCAGAAGCCACGGCTCGACTGCATTGTGCTGACACCGTGAGTCTTTACGGCGCTGCTCGCAGCCGAGTCTCCCCACATCTTTCATTCTATAATGTATGGTGATCTGCAGTTGGTCAGTCGTACGGCAGCATCATTATTATTATCAGCCAGGCATTGACGAACATTTTAAATCAATATCTCTCTGCCTTTGTTGTTAGACTTCTTTAATTCATCAGGTCCTTCGGTCCGCTCTAAACACTGGATGCAAAGATTCCGGCTTTAGCCTGGTGAGATGTCTTGTGCACACCTGTGGAATCCGACTGCACTACCCCTGTTACGCGAATAGCACAGTAGACAGCTTGACGTAGCCAACCAAACTCGCCATCGATCAGTCTTGGTTGGGTTTTGGTACCACGTAGAACGCAACACAGCGAGGACTGACTGTTTATTAACGGGTCACATTAAAAGTGAGGAACATGCGAAAACCTTCGGTGCATCATGAGTGTAGCCAATCAGCATGTTGTGTCAACTTGTGACCATAACCTCCTAGGCACGTGTTTGACATTTATGCATGTTGTGCGGGAGGTGTGAACAGGACTGAACACGAATTAATCAAAATGGGGACGCAATAGTAACTTTTGGGACTCATATCCACACTCTTCCATTTCATTCTCATATCCGTAGGTTACTCAGGCGCACGTGCACGAGGCGTTTCTGCTGCTCAACAAATCCATCATAAGAGTGGAACAGCCTGACATAAACCTGGAAGAAGATCAGGGTCTTGCGGACTTTGCAGCGGCTCCTGCAGCTGATCAGGTTGGTTTTTACACCATCTTAATTTTCTGCGTCAAATGATGTATGCGAAATCAGTTGACTACCTAGTTATTACTCTTAGCGTTGAAACCAGTTATGATCTCTTTACGGCACTTCGAAAAAGTACCTTTTGTGGTTTCCATCGATGGATCAGTAACTGTACTACTTGTAATTGCATAAGCTACCTTCAAACTTCCGATTGGGAAGTCAAACAAGGACCACACAAATGCAGACTCAAACTCATCGATTGGGCGACTTGGACAATACATCAGTGATTACAGTTGTTTTATTTGCTGACTAGCCGGATTGGGCTGATAATAGTACAAATAATCGTTCAGCTGCAACGCCCTTTGATAGCCTAGCTGCCATGCCATCCGAAGAAAGTATTAGGGCTGAGATGCTGTTAGGCTACCCAGGCCTACACAGGAGCACTCGAAAAGCTGAGATCCGGTTCGAACTACGGACCTTTCGGTCATCGGGTGTGAGCCGTTTCGGGCTAACTGTCCCAGGGGCTCTTTTCACTTCACTGGAGTTACTTGAAGCGAATTCATGTACGCCTTGGAAACTCCACCATTTAGAATTGCATCACTATAAAGAATAATTGGTCTCCATGCTCGAAGAGGATACAGTACTCAGCAGTACCCAGTGTCGACCAATATTGAACCTGTAGTGGAGATTGGAATGTCTATGTGTGGCACAACTTGTATCGGTACTTGTCGATTGTGTTAGCTAAGCACTCCTACTCAGCTCAGCCACTTTCGGCCACTTGGCCTCCCTGCAGTGATACTTTTACTCGGCGTAACCTGTTTGGTTTCTGCTCACTTATGCACCACATTTTGTCAACCTGGTTTATGAATTCACTGTCACCTTTAGAAACCGTTCAACGTGCAGTTGCATTCAATGGGATCCTGACAGTTTTTGTGTTGTGAATACGCATGACTTATGAAACATCTATCTTGTCTTTACCGCACATAGTTACTTATCCATATTGTATGTCCAACCTAGGCTAGTGAACAGATCACACAAGCTCCTGATCAGGCTGTGGGGCATTTGCGAGTCACCTATGATGAATACCGGAGAATCGCAAGTTTACTTATCATGCGCGCTAAACAGTGGAGTGAGGCGAGTGAGACTCAGCTGACTGACGCTACAGACCAGACGGGTGGTGCACCTCGGCGGAGTGACCTCATCAACTGGTATTTGGAAGAAGTTGCTGAAGAGTTTCAGACAGAAGCACAGTTGGCTGAATGTAAACTACTCGTCGAACGTATTCTGGATCGTTTGGTGAAAAAAGTAAGTTCATTTTCAGGCTTTTCCCATCCTGTTTGTTTTTGAACACTAACAGTTTTATGTGATCTGTAAATGTTAATTTTCGGCTATTGAGGATCCAGTGGTGTACACCGATTGCATCTAAACACACGAAGCAACGTAAGATTTCACTGGAATCTAACTTGTAACCAACGAAAGTCCTGAATTTTCGGTCGAGGATAGACCTCCAAATTTTGTATACAAATACGTCCAGCATACCCAATGTTAACCACTGTCCCACGTTCCCTCTCAACTCCGAATGATCATTTTGTTGCCAACCTTTGTTCCCAGGACAACATACTGATCGCAATTGGTGGAACCGGTCTGGATTCCGAAAGCACTGACGCTGATCCCTATCTGGTGGTACATCCGAATTACGTGGAGTAGATTTACACGAACTAGACCCCCTGTCCTATTTTTACCGTATCTGACTGTTTCATGCAAGATCACCCGAACAGATTATTTATAAATGTTTCTGGTAGATCATCACTTTTTTGTTTCTTGTTGGTCGTGCTAGCGAGAACTTGGCTCAGTTCCGACAGAGTTATGTGATTTTGAGCTATATAGTAGTTGGTACACCCACTTTTGACTTCACCGTCACCTGAGTTCGTGATAGCTCAGCGGTTAAAGTGTGGACTTACTGACCAGAAAGTCTGCGGTTCGAACCCAACCCCAGTATCTCGTCTGTTCCTGTCTATGCTCGGGAACATGGTAGTATCCCAGCTCCTGTGTTTCCTTCGGGTAGCGTGGTAGCTAGACCCAGAGGATGTTACAGCCCAATTCATCACTATTATTATTATTCATTGCTTCAACACAATGAATCAGACCTCTGAAAGGACTATCCATCTGTCCCATTTGACTATCCAGGTACTAATCATCAACGCTCCCAATTTCAGCAGCTGACGTTGCCAGGCGATTCTCACAGCTAAAAAAGATCGTATGGACTACCTACCAGAAGCTGCTTTAGGCGTGGAGACAGCTGTAATTGTCAGCGACATCCCAATTAAGACCAGCAACAAGATCGATAAACTAATCTTTGCGACCCCTACGGTCAAATTATAACAAGTGACGAGAAAAAAAAACGGAAAAGATAGGCTGAACATTCCAGCTAACCACTCAGTTGCCACTCCATCTACCAGTCGTTCATCACAACTAACAACATCGTGACGTGGTTGCGAAGCTCATAGTGACACCGCCGCGCCGGAAGTCAGTGAAAAGCCTAGGTGTCACCAGTGTGGGATTAGGTTGAGCCATCATGCGACAGGCAGTGGGATGTATACCTAATGACTGTGTGCTTGACATTACTGCTGATCGTGTGTTATGGGCAACTGTGCCGTAGACCAGGTAAAAACCATCACTGCCACGATCCTTGGCCCAATCCAACAAAAGCATTCAGCGATGTGCTGCTAGTGGTCCCTGTGTATCAGGACTACTGCTTTGTTCTGTGTGCACATGGATTTCGTCAACACGACCTTGTAAAATATGGCCCAGGCTTACGGTCGTTTTCCCAAAAACCCCCTTAATTTCGTTCAGTTGAAGTTTTCCAGAACAGACGAGCTTTGGCGGTTGTAAATAGGGACGTTCACTTGTACTGGCGTTGTTGGTATTCCGTACTTCTGGATGGGCATTCAAAGATTATTCTTTATTGCGCGTCAAAATCTTTATTATAACCATAGTCGTAAGGCTGGAGCACAGTTTAATTGCCGCCGGCACCTGTTACTCGGGTGACTGTTTCGGATTTTCACTGCTGATTACACAAGAGTAGTGTAAAATTATCACGCTGTGTAACAACCTTTTAGCAGGCCGAACACAGTTGGACATTATCCTCAACTTAGTGTTCGATGGTCAATTTGTCGCGGTCAAAATCTTTATTATAACCATAGTCGTAAGGCTGGAGCACAGTTTAATTGCCGCCGGCACCTGTTACTCGGGTGACTGTTTCGGATTTTCACTGCTGATTACACAAGAGTAGTGTAAAATTATCACGCTGTGTAACAACCTTTTAGCAGGCCGAACACAGTTGGACATTATCCTCAACTTAGTGTTCGATGGTCAACTTTGTCGCGGAAAGCAAAGAGTAGTCACTAGAGCTAGCTCGAAGCACCACCGATGACACGGAGTTCTTGCAGAACACCAGGTATTGCAGCACATAATAGTAGGTCATAGCTCTCACACAACTCTTTAGACCCCTTCGATTTCCGAACTGATTCCCCATTGATTACGAGCCAGTGTGATGCGACATCATAGCAGTGAGGTCAATCAAACGCCCAAAGGCTGAACAAGACGCAGTTCACCGTACTCAATAGCCAGTCAATTTTTTACCTTCCTATTGTTGCCACGGCTACTTCTCGTCATCAGCAAAACCGAATAGAACAGGTAACAAGGTCATCCATACTGCACCGAAAAGTAGGGGCGACGTAAACGAGGGAATCATCACAGTTTGGGTAACCATGAGATTTCGGCGCATAGGAAACTAAACTAAAACTTTGAGAACTGACGTCCTAAATGCAATAACGTTTATAACACTACAACGTAGCAGACTGATTTCCACTCCTTTCCTGACTCAGTAGGAGGATTATACTTTGACGAATCTAGCAGGATTTACTGATGATATCTTCCATGTCAGACCATGTGAATAGTCGTTGAAAATCCCACCGTTACGTAGGTTACATCGACAATCTTTCCGGTCTTCCGTAGACAGCGCCGACAATGCATCACGCTGCTTGTTTGTACTACGAATACTGGCCTATCGTCATGGCCGACCTCAGTGCAAAGCTGACTTTGTTGCCACCTTTGAGTGTAGTAGCACGGTAAGACGTGCATAAAGTACTAAGTGGATTTGCTTTTGAACAGTTAGCTCTACCACAAGCGCTTTAAACTGATATCCCATTGATTCACGGAAACTGTAATCGTGTTGTGGATGTTGCCATTGCAAACCCACTGAGTCTGTGTTCCAGTCGTTTTCATTCCGCTGGAACCTATTCAGAGAACGGATTTAGGTTCCGCTTTGGGGTGAAGGTAGATTGTGTACATCCAGTGTATGTCCACGCTTGGTGTCCAGACGTGGTTCGTCAATCATATGGAGCGTTCCGATCCATGCTGTTGAAACCTCATGAGAATGTATTGTGCCTCAGTAATTTTTGGAAACAATCGTTCCACTAGGTATCTCAGTGGGAGAATTCCACAAGACCAGTGGAGCTCTCTTCTGGGACCTCGCCACTAGAGGAGCCGGTCATTCAACACGCGGTGACGTGATATGGGTTCCGTAATCTAAGCATAGTTGCGCTACATCTCTAAGTCCAAATGAATATCACTGTGCTGATCAGCCGCTCGTGTCAGAAAGATTAAGTGTTCAAGCGAGAAACCGACAGGTCTGAGGTTCGAAACTCCTTGGGTTTCGTGAGATATGCACTGCTGATGATAGTCAATGAGTACAAAATAGCTTAACAGTGCTTCATAGATTGGCTTCACTTCTCAATTGAAAAAGCAAAATCTCACACTACCAGCATTCTGCTAAATTCTTACCGAATGGAAAACCTTGCCTTAGCAGCTTTGGCAAAACAATATCTTCACAAGATCTTTAAGACAGTGGCGAAGAATCCATTTTAGCCTCCAAGAAAATGATTCCTTAGTGCATTGGTTGCTTTCACGGAATTCACCCTACATTCATTCGTCAATAGGTCTTTATATTACAAAGGGTTGAGAGGCACGAAAGCTATGATGGAACGCTCTAAAGTGGCTTGTCAGATTGAGAAACAACTTTTTTCTACTACCGTAAATTGCGGCTGATGTCAAACATGGAACTTTGGTGCTTTTCACCCTTTTCTCAATAAGTGTCTATTTCCAGCAACCGTATGATTGTTGCCCTATGTCTTGACAATGTACTGCGACATCTAGAGTATAGTACCAAGTGAAATATAAGGCGGCCTATTGCAGCACGTTCAGTAGAAGTGGACGGGAGATTCAACTAGATTCAGTCGAGTCTCCTACCAAAACCAAATTCGTATGCAAATGTGTTTGTCGAAAACTGTCTGTTATATTGCATTCCAAGATACCCGTTTTGAGATTCCTGGATTTTAGTATTGTTTGTAGGCGAAGACACCAGGATGGCTGTGGTAGACTAGTATTAAGTCCTCCACTTTGATTATTTTCTCCACAATAAGGCTCCCAAATTATGGTCGCACGACGATGGCTCTATGTCTTAGATTTAAAAAACATGTGTACGAAAGAGTCGCTCAAAATTGACCATCCAAAATTGCATCATTTATTATCGTCCGCCATCGGCAAACAGTGTATTCTTTCATGTTGACTCTCCTTGTGTTGTCGCACTTTGTCACGGCTGGATGAGTCGAAAGTCGGGGACAAGCGTAAGGAGGTTAGGGTAAATAAAGCGAAGGTGGGAGTTCAAGAGCACAAACAACATGACAAGGATCAACCGTTTGGCGAGAATGCTCTATGGGATGCAGAAAGTTCAAGTGCCCTGATTGATTTGGCCGATATACAGTCTGAGAGTACGTTGAAGCCTTCTAGTGAGAAAACAACCAGTGGGAAAGGGCAGAAAAGGGTGTCACAGAACTTCATCGGCTATATCTAGATTTTCTGGCTTTGATTGCTATTTAGGCGTTCAGCTGTAGCACCCTTCCGGTGCCTGGCTGCCATGCCACCCAAAGGAAGCACGAGGGCTGGGATACTGCCAGGTTGCCCAAGCCTAGACAGGGGAAGTCGAGTGACGGAGGTCGGATTCGAACCACGGACCTTCCGGTCGGTAAATTCGCGCTCTAACCACTTGGGCCATCTCGCCCCCCGATTGCTATCTGGGAACTTTACACGATCAGAAGGCTTTGGAAGTCACAAAGAAGTTCAGCGGGCTTGGGGACAGGAAACTGCATGCGGTACGCCAAAACAGTTGGTCAGATCTTCGTTTTAGAGAAGGACCTGGGTCTTCGCATTTGACCCTGAATTGCTTCAGTGGTTAGAGCGCGAATTAGCTGTTCGTATTGATGCTACCACACTACTACTAATTCCATTTATAACACAGTACATAATATTAGTAACCGTTCAGTTCTAATATCATTTCGGCGCCTAGCTGCCATAAAGCCCTAAGGAAGCATGAGGACTGAGATACTACCAGGTTACCAAAGCCTAGATAGGAGCAGAAGTCTGGTTCACTGCACGCATCCCTCGGTCAGTAAGTTCTAGCCTTAACCACAGCTTTCTCGAGCTCATTTATTCATACTACCTCGCACTACCGGTGCGTGTTGTTGACCTAATAATGTCTTGAAAATTGATGAACTACTGAAGTCGTTGCTGCACGATGTTGGCCAATAGATGTTGTTCCAATCAAAGCAGACCAATACGCAGATTTGTTTACTTAAAGGTTGATAATGCACGTATTGAGCTGCACCACATGAACTGTAGTCATGGGGAATTCGACTCCATACAAGGCTTCTCAGGTGTATGTGCCTTCCGGGGCTGGTAGGAGT